CAATAGTAAATTTATGCTTCACTCTCATCTTCCTTGGCCTTTCTTTCCAAAGTGAGCACAGTTTCCTGACCATCAGAACACCATGCTTTCACGGTCACCTTATTCTTTCACACACACTTACTTGGTTGTCTTCTTCAGCACTGTTACTTTACATGATACCTGAAGGCTGACAACTTCCAAATATTTATTTTTGATCCAGGTATTCCCTTACAATTTCCCATCTCAAATATCCCTTTGCCTGCTCAACATTGCATTTCTTCTTCTTTTGTGGTATTGAGGACTTAGACCAAGGAGCTCTGAGCCACATCCTTAACCTTTTGAATTCTGAGACAGGGTCTCACTAAATATCCAGGCTCGTCTTGAACTTACAGTATTCCTCCCTTGGCCTCCTGTAAAGCTGGGATTACAGCGTGTACCACCATGCCTTGCCTTCATTATTGGATATAAGAATACACACAAGCGTAATCCCATTCCTTTTTCAAAATCCCATTCCTTCCACAAATTTCATTTTATCAATGGAATGCCAAAGGGAAATTTCCCTCTCTACCGCTATGGTTCATTGGAATAAACTGACAAAGACAGATTAACTGGAGAGAAGATACGCACACTAATTATGTGCATGGAGGCAATCACATAGTGTAATTACCAACGAGTCCAACATGATTCAGACACATGTAAACCCCTTATTCTATAAAGGAGGGGGACAGTGGGGAATGTAGACAATATTTAAAGAAATACTAAATGACTTTTAGGGGATCCCAGTGAGCTTGGAAAACATGTCGTGGCCAGAATAAAGTCTGTTTAATCCATAGAAGAGACAATGATTTTTTTTTTTTTTTTTTTTTTTTGGTTTTTGGTTTTTCTCCGGTACCGGGAACCGAACTCACGACCTTGTGCTTGCCAGGCAGGTGCTTTGCCGCTGAGCTAAATCCCCAGCCCCGAGACAATGATTGTTAATGATTTTCTGTGGGACTGAAATAAGTGGCAGTGACATGGTGAAAGTATCCGTGTGTACTGATTGACTTCGGTGCTTCTTCCTATCACGTGAATTAAGTCTTCTCTGCTGAATGAAATTCTGGTAAGAAGATGAAGGCAGTTGTGTTGTCTTGGTGCAGCTGCTCAGCTAGGTAAGGGAACTTTCAGAGAGCTTCTGCTTATGCTGAGAGAGGGGAGAAACACACAAAAGTCAGAATGGTCTTGATTCAGACATAGATTCTGAAACCTCTTGATGTTTCAGATCACCTGTCTTTGGGACATTATGTCTCAAAAACACTTTCAATGAAATCGCTCAAGCAAAAACATTTGACCTTTGATTCCTTCCTTCCTTTTCTCAGATGGGAGTCAAATCCATTAGCAAGTACTGATGGCTTTTCCTGGGAGTACATACAATATATAACTGTTTGTCACTATTTCCACTGTTACCATTGGGCCCAAGACGCCATCATGGCACCCAGCCTTCAGTGACCTCTACATGCAAAATTCCACCCCATTCTCAATACATAAAGTTGACTTGCACTGCCTCTTCCTTGCTCTATTCCCAGTGCATTTGCTTCCATGCAAAATGCTGTATCTTAACGTTTTCATTCTTAGCTCATCCCTTTCCCTACAATGTAATCTTCACAAGAACAAGGATTTTGTCTGAATTTTTCCAATATCTGTATCCCTAGGGCTTAGGTACTTAATAAATGTTACTTGGACAAATTAATACATCGTCACAAAACACACTGGGTAATAAGATTTTTGTGTTAGAGATGAGAACACCAAGGCTCGGACAGTTAGTGATCTGATGGTGATAGAAATAGAAGGTGAATGGGTTAGAATATGGACAGAGATTTCTTTGGCTCCCAATTCTAGATCCTTAAATAGTGCACTGTTTTGGGTTCATGTTCATATGTTTCCCTCTGGAACTCTATTTCAATTTTTTTTTAGAAATTCTTGAAATTAACACAAAGTGTTTTATTTTCTCCATTAAGTTTTGATCAAGTTTCTTTCAAAGCTGCAGCCATCTAATTTGTGCTTACACACTGAATCTATCCTACTGGGCCATTCCTTGGAATATATGTTGCCTTGGAAGTGTTGAATTTTGTATATTAGCAAAGTGATTATTCACCACCTTAAGTTCACTGGCTCTGAAATCTAGAATAAGGAAATCCTAAGAAGCCTTTAAAAGAAAAATAGACATTTTAAAATCTAGATTCTCACTGCATGCCCTATAATTAGTTACAGGATAGCTCTTATTTCCCCCATTTACACTTGCCTCAGGTATAGTTTTTTTAAAGTCTTACATTCACCCTTCTAACAACTACTGAGAAATTTTCATGAGCAGGGCCCATCTCATGCACTCAGTGAATAAAACATAACTTCCTGTCCTCAAGGAACTTACATTTGAGTAACAGAGAAATAATACCTAACAATAAATTAATATATAATAAAAATCACTATGAAGATAAATAAAGCAGGGAAGGAGCCAACAAGTGAAAAATGGTAATCTTTTGAATAACGGTATAAAACTTTGTGAGATTTGGGGCTTTATTATAATTTCTATTATTCATGCTTATAACCCTGGTACCTAGAAAAATAATGTCATGCATAGATATGAGCACAGGGTAGAGATAGAGATTAAGTAAATACTATTACAGGGATGAGTGTATGAGGGAGTGGTGGTGAAAAGTCCATTTAGGAGGTCATTGCAGTAACTGGGTCATGGTGGCTCATGGTGGCTAGACACGGAGAAGCTCTGTAGATGGAAGTGGCCAATAGCACCGCCGTGGAGGTTAGATATGGAGTAGGGGAGTGTGACCTAAGGAGAGAACCAAGGGGGGGCCCGACCTTCAGCCAGGGCAACCAGCAGAGGGCAGCCATTGGCTGAGGTGCGGGAGTCTTAGGAGTGTGGCAAATTTGGTGGGCAGAATTAAGTTTCTTTGGAACCTAAATCCAGTCTCTTTCTCTGTGTCACCCTCTCCCTTTCTCATATTTTCCTGAGATCCCTGAAGCCAAGTACGGCTATGTATTCAAGGACAATCATTCAGAGTCACTCAGCTTTGGAAAACGGCCACACCGGTTCCACTCTTCCCTTGCTTGGGCAGACTCAGGCGTCCTGTGTTGCTGCTACCTTTCTAATGCCTGCTTTTTTATTCCTGGAATAGGAAAGGCACAGCCAAGGGAGGCTGTTTCCTTCAAATTCATCTTCTGGACTTTTATTTTGATTTAGGAAAGTGAAAGATAATTGAAGGGGATGAAACAGGGAAAAAGTATGTTTATGTGATTCACAGGATAGTACCAGCTTGAACCGATTAGCTGCTTATTATACATTCCTGTCCCTGGCTTGTCACAGCAGTCTGATCCCAGGACCACATAACCATTCCTGTTCAGCACAGCCTCTTGTGTGCAAACTGAACCTCAAAAGGGTTAATCAAGTCTTATAATCTGAAACAACATACAGTCATCAGGTGATCAAAAATATGCCATAATCTGTTCAGTGAAGAGTGTTCTGGATTATAATGACAATAATAGAGGTCACAACACAAATCCAAGAAAGGCAGGGGAACACATGAAATGTTAAAAACTGCAGTGGTAAGTCTTAAAGATTGTAAATGTCCAGTACATATCTTTGCTTTTCTTAAGCAGAATATGCAAGATCCCTTCCAGCAAGTTTTGGGCAATAAAGTCCATGGGCGACACGGAGGGAGCTCTGCAGGTTTTCACAGCATGTCCTTTATTCTCCCTTTACTCTGCTCTAAATATAATCCTGCTTATTTGCATGCCAATCCCGGGATGCTTTGTAAATTCACAACTCCTGGCTAGTAGTCTCAGCGGGTATGCTTTAAGGACAAAGCAAAATGTTTAGGGCCGTGCTTTTGCCTCAGTCTTTTTTTTTCTTTCTTTCCCCTGTTTTTCAAAAGGGAACAAGGAGGGGGGAAACCTTTATTTGGCAGAGTATCACAGCAAGAAAGTGGAGACTGCCATGGACTTTTTCTCTGAAAGCTGCATTCAGTTCAGTTACACATGAATAACCGAAGCTTGGATTAACTCAGAGAGAATGTTGAAGGGGGGCTAGAGTGCCCTTTGAATATGTGACCAAGCCGGCTCATTTCAGGTTTGTGTAAAGCCCAAGCTGTTGTACTCCACAGCCCCTTTCTTGGATGCCTTATATAGCTTCTCTATTGTAAGGAAGCCTTCAACGTAATGACAAGATGTGGAAGAGTGTGGTCAGAGGCCTGCCTTGTAGAAATGGGAATTCAAGATCTCTACCACAGGCTTAGTCATGCTCAGTGACATCTACGCAATTTCCATTTTGTAGGACATCAGCGTGGACAGTTGGGGAGTAAGGGTGATAGTAGACTTGTCTTAAGAGGATTTAACATTTTTTGCATTGCAAACCAATTTTTTGTTGTCATTTCAATTGCATGTTTGAGATTATTCTTCAGGACAGCAGGGAAACCTCCCCCACCCCAACGACCATTCAGACCCCACCCACGGCGGTCTCTTCTAAACAAGGCTCCCTTAGCCTGCCCGTTTCTGCAGGCAGCTGCGGACAGGGCATTCCAGTGCTGAAAGGCCATAGTTTACACCCGGTAACCTCTGTCTATCAGCAGTGAATTCAGAATTCTTTGAGCAGTGCACGGTTCACTGTGGAGAAGCAGCAGCAGTCACACCGCTCACAAAATCCACCCTGCACCCGCCAAGACTTCTGCCTTCCGGCTACAGGTGTTTCCTACTTTTTACCCTCCGACTCTAGTGCTCTTTCTTCAGTTCGAAGAGACAGGAAGTGGAGTTTTTTAAAAAAATAAATACTTCAAGAATATTTTTTTAAATACAGAGAATAGTTGATAAGCCGTGCCCCTTGCACTCCTCCCAGAATAAATGACTGCCTTACACTTTCTAACACGCATTTACACGGTCTGGGCACACGAGCAAGCCCACCCGGCTGCAGAGTCTGACCAGGTCTGCCTTCCGAGAGGCTGCGCTGCTGTGTACGCAGCGAGCGACCGGCAGAGGCGGCGCCCGGCCCTCGGCTCTAACAAAGGCGGCGGCCACACTTGCAGCTGCGCGACGGGAGGAGAGCGCGTTCCGGGTGCCAGCTCCTTCCCGAAACGAGGACGCGGAGGGTGCAGAACCCGTCGAGGGGCTGGTGGAAGGCGTGGGCTCTCTGAGGGACCCGGTCTCGGACTCTAGGAGGGCGACGCCGGAGCTGCTACTTCTGCACCCCGGGTGGCAGCGTCCTCTCCCAAAAAGTCCCTCGCGCCCCCTGGTGGCCACGGAGCAGACTGGCTCCGCTGCAAGTCGGGGAAATAGCAAAACGAAGAAAAAGAAAAAGTGGGTGAGGCCGATGCAAAGAGGAAAATCAATAGGGATAAGAGGCAAGAGGGAGGAGCCGCAGATCAGCCGTTCTCGTCTTACCGGGTCCCAGCTGGCACCACAAAAGAAAAAAAAAAAAAAAAAAAACCCGGGTGTGAGCGCGCGCGGAGGCTCTGTGCGTGTGTGTGTGTGTGTGTGTGTGTGTGTGTGTGTGTGTGTGTGCGCGCGCGCGCGCGGCGGGGGCCGGGCGAGGCACGGAGATTTACTATTGTCTCTGGCAGCCGCCGCGGAGCCGGGCGGGGGGCGGAGGCGAGGGGCGGAGGCGGCCGCGGCGGGCGCACCATTCGCTCCACCTGATCTCGGGGCGCCGCGCGCGGAGCCGGGCGCGGGCCAGCAGCGGCTGAGGAGGCGGGAGGCCGGCGCTGCAGCCACCGTCGCCACCATGTCCTACCAGGGCAAGAAGAACATCCCGCGGATCACGGTGAGTCCGGCGGGCCTGCCGCCCCTCGCCCCCGGTGGCGGGGTGCCTTCCCGGCCGGGTCCCCGGGGAGGGCTGGGCACCCGCAGTCCGGTTGGTGGGGCGCGGCGGTCAGCCCAGCCGGCGCGGCGGGCGCCACACAGCCGGAGCGACCCCTGGGGCTTGGGGAAACCAAAACAAAGGGGAAACCCAAACAGCGGCGCGGAGAACTTTGGACGGTTTGTCCTCTCTTCCGGCGCGGGGAGCTCCCCGAGAACGCAGCGCCCCGCGCCCTACGTGCGCCCCGCTCCCGCTCTGCCCGGAGAGGAAGGGCTGCGCCGCCCCAGGTGCAGGCGCAAGGATCTTTGTGGCCGGGAGGTGCGCAGAGGTGACACTCTCCCCGGGGGCGCTGGCAGCCCGACCGCGCCCCTCTACTCGCTCCTGGCCGCCCGGGTGTGTGCGCCTCGGGTCCTCGCCGCCGTGCGGCTTTCTGCTCTGCGTTCAGCCGGATTCGTGGTTTGGTCTGTCATACTCGGGGCTGGACGGCTAACGTGGCTGCAGGGGGAAATGACCAACTTTTATTTTCCCCTCGATGTGTTTTACTTTTTTAAAAAAAATGTCAGTTTTCTCCCTCATTCCAAGAAACGACCAGTTTTCACAGCAGATTTTTAGTTTGCGGTCACGGGCACACGCCGTGTGCGTTCCATGTCCTCTTGCCATTGTGTGCAAGACCGAGCCAAGGCCGGCTGGTGTCAGAGGCGCTGGGTGTGCACCCGGGCGCAGGGTGGCGAGGGGGCAGGCCATCCTCAGGTACAGACTCCCATCTTCACTGGCGTTGCCGAGGCTCTCTCCTGAGCAGGGTACCTCGTCCAGTGCTAGCCTGCTCTGGGATGTGCTGAAAAGATGCCCCCAATTGTAGGGACCTATGACAGACGGAAGTGGGCATTGAATCCCAAAACAAAAGCCGCTGACATGCCTTAGTTTAGCAAGAAGCAAGTATGGTTGTCTTTGTCTGTGGGGAGTAGGATGGTGTGTGTGTGTGTGTGTGTGTGTGTGTGTGTGTGTAGTGGAGGAAAGGGTGGCTACTCCATCTTTGCAAGACGAACAAAGGAAGTAATCAGCTGGCCCCTGGTAGGTTCTGTAGCTGCCCCAGGGTAGAGCTTTACCTGCCACCGCAGTTAATTTGCTTGGATCTGCCAGGTTTTGCTGTGGGCCTGCATCCAGTTTACACTTGTTCATTGTGTTTGGGGGTGCCCTGTGCGTTTGGGGCTGGGAGGGAGAACCTTACTCTGCAGAGCCTGGGAGTTGCCTCTTTTGCACCTAGTGCACTTTATTGTCAGGTGGTTTATTTCTGTTGCAGCGCCTTACATACCGAACGCTTTCCTTGCACCTGAACTTTACTTCACACAAGTGCGCCCCACCCCTACAGCTGTCCAGCTGGTCCCAGGTTAAAAACAAAACAAAACAAAACAAAAAAATATTGGGGTGGGGAGGTGGAGCTGGTTAAAGATCCTTTTGCCTGGTAGAGTTTTAGGTTTAAACAGGTCCTGTTGTATCCCTGGTATACATCCTGGGATCCCTTGTATCCCTGGTATCATCCACTTTGCACTATTAAGCATTCTATGGCTTTTACAATGCAAAGTACCTTTTCCTTGCTGTCGTGGCAAAGAGCTGTATAGATATTATTTTTAAAAAGGCTGATTGGGACCAGAGCTTAATTTTTATACTTATTTTCCTAACTCAGGAGATAGAACCACAGCTCTCATGCTATTACATGTAGGAAGCATGCTGCATGTATGTGCCACTTATTTACATCTAGTATGCATAGGCCAGCTCTCCTTTCTGGCATAGACATGGAACTGATTGGTTTTTTCCTCCGCATCTGAAGACTGCGATGATTCTTATGGACTCAGCTGTGACATGATATTAAGGGCCACACCCATTCCTTTAGGTATCATGTAATCCACCTTTAAAGAAAGATGAAAGAAATTCAGCCTTGATCACTTGTCTTAAAAACCCGAGGGACTGTGACTGTGCCCCGATCTGAGGACGATCTGAGGACCGGGTTTGCAACTGGTTTCCTTTTGTTTCTGTTTGGGTGATCTTCCCTGGGGGCCATCCTTCACACAGAGCTGCTGCTCCCCATTTTTCTGGGTGTGGGGCGTGGCGCTGCATCGCCTGCCACTGTCTCCAGCAGCAGCAACAGGAGTAGACAGTGATCGTGAATTTCTTCAAGCCAGGGTGCCTCGTGTTCATTGTTAAAACCAGGAAGACAGCAAGCAGGAGAATGGCAGTAGGCTTGGTCTGTGAGGATGAGGCATCCATTTGTAGATTTTCTCATGCTTTGTGTCTGTATTTCTGTGAACAAGAATTCTATTTTAGAAAAAAATCTTGTGTGGCTGCACATCTATAAAGATGGTTACCTACGTACTTGAAGGGTTGAAATAGAGCTAAAAACAAAAATATGGACACAGGTCTGCACGTACAGAAAATATGACTAAAGAGCTAAATAAAACTGGTATCTCCTGCTGTTGATATTAGGATATTTTAACAATAATAATATTGTGAAGTTTGAATTAAATTCAATCCCCTCTGCCCTCTCCTCCATTCTGTAGAGGCTGCCCCACCCAGTAGTGGAAGTGTCACTATAATCTGAGAACCGAGGGGGGCAGCCTTTCCTGGTCCTGTCCTCTTCGCCTCCTGAGACACCACCGTCTGCCACCATTTTGGGACAGAGTGGGGGTTCTGTATGTTGTTTGCTTGTTTGTTTTCTCCATCCACCTGTTTTTACTACCCTCCTGAGAGCAGAGCCTTTCTACTACCAGGTGTTTATTGGTTTTCGTGGAGGGCAAGAGGAGGTATCTCTCTTGCTGGAGGAACTGGCTGGGCCTTTCCCTGTGAGGAGCTCAGGCTCCATATCTTCATTGTTTCTTCCCAGGACACCTGTTAAGATCCTCTGTTCTGCCTCAGCACTATCCCATGCTCCTAAATGCCAGAATCACCAATCTGGGTGGTTCCACAGATCAGGCAAAGGACCCTGTATCCCCTCTGTGTGATACAGTGCCTGGTGCCTAGGTTCCAGGGATTGTCAGTTATGCAGATGAATGAATTAAAAATTGCTCCTAATAATAATATTTCATATCTACTAAACGTTTATTTTGTGTCAGATATTGTGTTATATGCCTTATATGCATTGTCTAATTTGACTTTTCAATTAGTGCTGTCTGAGAGGTATCATAAGTATCCTATTTTATAGATCTAAAAAGTTAAGAACATCTCTCTTACCTTTTGTATTGAATGAGACTAAAGAGAATATTTGGAATGGTAGCCAACATACCAGTTCTGCAGAGAGAAAGATTTGAAGCTGACCACAGGCATGGGCAAGGCCCTGACACTTAGATTCCAGTGCTTTAGATGTACTTTATCATTAGGCTCTGCAGAAAACCATTTCTGAATTTATGAAATTGATACATATAGTATCATATATATATAGTGTCATATGGAGATATATTTAAAATCATAAAAATATGGACATAGATCTATATAGAGAGGTGAAGATCTACATATACAAGTAAGTGAAACCCATTATATAAAGTCACATAGCAAGAGTTTTGAGATGAAACTGGGAAATCAAACACAGGTCTTATCCAACATCAAAACTGAGGCTACCCTGAGACAACTGCTGCTTCTCAGCGGCCTGTGTAGCCCAGATTTCTAGAAAGGTATGGATAAAGAGCTCCTGGATTGCCTCTAGTAGACAGAGTCCTGGCTTTCTGCAATTACTAATTGGATTTCTGTGAACATGTTTTGCAGATGTGCATTTGTGCTGCAATGGAGGCGGAGTTCTGTGTGTGGTATTTGAGAATTGCTGGAAGATGTGTCGTTAGTTAGAAATACCACCTGGAAAGTACAGTGTAGGGCATGTCGGGAGCTCTGCAGTCTCCCTTGAAAGGGAATGATTGTGAGTGCTGTGGGTGTCTTATGAAATCCTAAGTCTCAGGAGCCATTGAACTAGGGCCTAGCACTAGACTAGATCCCAAGGAAGGAATTGCTGCAACCCCACCCCTGCAACTATGTATTCACCTTGCTTCAATAAGAATCACTCGAAAATGGAAAGGAAGGGATGGGAGTTCAGCTTAGGGGAGAGCACTTCCTTAGCACAAGGTTATGGGTTCAATTCCTAGCATCACAAAAAAGGGGGGAGTGAAAAAAAGTAAGAGATGGAAAGTTAGAGTTTAGAAAACCAAAGGAAGGGATCACTCCATACCAGCCGTATCCATGTAAGGCATCTTGGAGAGGAAATTCCAGAATAAAAGATAGAAGAATAATCAGACACTTAGGAATGGAAAACATCTTAGATAGCTGATCACAGAAATCTCAGCCCAGGCCCTGCCTGTGGTGTTCGTTTAGTACTTAATATTTTGACTAGGTGTGGAATGGTTCCCAGCCAGGTTATTCCTCCTCAAATACTACCAAGATGCCTCAAGTGAATAAAGATCTCTGAATATCAGTCCCTGTAACTGAGCCAGCTGGGCACTTGGGGGAATTCTAGATAGATTTCCTGAGAGATTGAAGTCTACATGCAAACTATCAGTGTGTAAATAAAAATCCCCCCTTTCTGTTTCAGTGGGTGTTGGTAAGGTCAAATGAGGTAGTGAACATGAATGTGGTCTGTGAACACTAGGTGTATTTTAAGATAGTGAACACTGATTTATTTATAAAATCAAACTACTTTGGAATGTGGAAACTAATAAAGGAAGATTTGGCAAAGGTCTGCTTTCCAGAGAAACTACCTGGGAAACTTTTTTAAAACACAGATTTTCAAAAACAAAAATGAACATGGTACTCTAGAAAATCCCCATTGTTTTTCTTGCTTTAATTATGTTACAGTGTTCCATGGAAGTCTGCTTGTCATTCATTTCTGACAGGCCAATAGAGCTATTAGACTATTTTTGGACTTTGATTCAGAAATTCCCTCTCAACCTAAATACAGAACATATTCTTAATTTAGTTGAACTGTATGT